TCCGCTCGAACTCGAATAAACTGTTTGAACAAAAAATGTTCGAACACACCTATTATTATATTCGGTGGAAGTCGACGTGATTAGAAAGGAGACACGGTTAGAAAGCTGCGTTATAGAGATGCGCGGGCCCTGTGTTCGCGATGAATATGCGATATTACCGTGTCCCGAGTGCGCATTCGTACACACGCGTACGAGCTACCGAACTCCCCCGGTTCGCTCTCACGAGCACCTCCGAGAACGGGAGTATGGGAAAAAAAGGAGGAAGACCGCAGAGAAGGAAGCTCCCCGAGGGTTGAAAGGAGACATTCACTGCCACCGGCGATGAATCCAATGAGAACTGAAAACCGCGCGCTAGTGCGTGTCTGTAAACGTGTGAAGGATTAATAATTTCACCAGATAGAGCGAGCCCTTATTGCCGTTGGCGAGGAATGCGAGCTGCCCCGATCAAATTTTGGTAAATAATTATACGATCGTTCCGTAAACGCGATCGAACTACAAAGGAAAAGGCAACGTGGCTGGTCAATTGAAAACGTAGCGACTTCGTAGTGTGCGTACTATTTTTTGGCGCCAACATATTTCTGAAATTGATGACTGTCATTAACCTCTTGACATACCATTTTCTTCGTAGTTACTGTGATTAGAAATTTTTCGATTGCAATCATTTCATAGAAAGGAAAGAAAATTGATGCTTATTGTGTGCCCAAATTTACTCGAATGCTTAAATATTCATAAAAAGAGATTAGAATTTTATTCCAGTTTTAAAAGAAAGAATAACATTTACACTCAATTAGTAATTACTAGAAATTTTCATGACGAGTCGGACTCGTCAAAGTACGGCAAGGGATTAATTAAGTTGGTAACGTTTCGGTCATGCAATTGTTCATTTCGAATACTTGTACTATACTTCAGGCAAAACGTAATATTTACACGCGGAGTGTTCGAGGAGTAATCTTGAAAGGTTTTCTATTGCAGTTGACCTTGTATGATCTTCATAATGTAGGTCATTGTAGATTGTTTCAAACGATCTACCAGAACATAAATGAAAGAGCATGTTTAAGAATGTACTTACAACCTTGCAAAGAAACTAATCTTACAGCTACCATGTGCCTCTTGGGACAGTGGGTGTAACATTATCTTGAGGATTCTTCCCATAAAGACAACAGAAATATTTAGGTGTCCGTGTTTAAATGATTCCACCGTGTATAATTATTAAGAATATCATTCCCTTAGTTTATTTTCGGCAACAATTACAATGAAACGATTTGTAATACCCGTAATAATTGTATAAATATGTACGTAGATCCATGTCTAGTACATATTTTTCATCGAAAAAGATAGTACGTATCTCTTGAACGTGAGAAAAATTGTCCTAATGGTTTGGAAAACTACATTTCCTTAGTTTGGAAAGAATCGTAATAATCGTGCTCGAAAGATGTGTTTAATACTGGATGAGCAACCATTAAAAGCAACCATTTTGTTTTGCTTGATAAAAATAATAAAAATGTGTTTATCTAGATTTTTAACGACTTTTATCATATTATATACATGTTCTAAGAAACAAAATTAAATTAATTCTCCGTAAATTTAACAAATTTGAAACCCGTCATTTCGTCAAACCCTGTGAAGCTAATCCTAATCGTGTCTATTGAGACCATTTCGCTGTTTTCGTAGAAAAGATTTTTAAACAAATTCATTCTCCTAATTTCACTATCCACTGCCATTTTGAAAAACAAGAAACAAAATTGAATCGTTGAGTAAAAGTTTCCACAGTCTGATTGAATGGCTTAAGAATCCCAAAACGAGAGAATGGAGCTCGTATCCGTACACTATGGACCGTACAGAATGAGCGCCAGTACTTGCAGAGAAATGAAAAGTGCTGCTTCCTCTGGAGAAAGATAAAAAATCCAAATAATACGGAACAAATTCTTTGATGCTCTGTTAAAACGCGCGGTATTTTATGCTTGCATACGGCGATCCTTTTACTCTGTCCGCGAACCTTCTCTTTTGAATGATAGTGAAAGTGGAGGTGACGCTCTGCGAGGAGGAATAATAGTGAAAACGAAACTGCGAAAGGGCTCGTTGTGAATCGAAAGTAAAGCATAATTATCTGATGGGAATATTATTTTTTTGACATTGTTTCTCAACTCTTATTTACTTCAATAAATGTTTCTTATTTTGGCAATACTAAAATTATCTGATAATGAAACGAAGATTAGCGCAAGAAGGAAAATTTTTGTACGAATCTATATTTCTTTTTGGAAAAGTGATAATTAGGCTGCGAATATTTATGCAAAATAAAAATTTATCGAATTCACTGGAAGAGACAGAAGCCACTTAGGAATTGTCTTCGTTTTGTAATAATTCTAGGAGATTTTTTTTTACTTTCTTACTATTTTAAATTGCTGAGTTGCTAATAATATTTTGTACATTAATTATCAAAATACCTTAAACGGTATTTTTTAAATTTGTTTAGAGCAGATATAGTTGTAAGTAAATATTTATTTGTCCACAACACATATAGCAAATACCTATATATTTTGTTAAAACAAGACAATGAAATAATAATTAAAAAGTCGTTTCGAATGAGCGTACACAGCTAACGTAGACTCCATTAATGGAATGAAAAAATCCACTAAATTGTACAACTTGCTACATTCTACTTACTGTGGAGTACATTATTCACCGGCGTAAGTGTTGGAATAACCAGCATAAGAATAATGATACGTAGCATTCATACTCCATAAAACACAAAAGAGGTCGTAGAAATTCTCAAATGAGCAAGCTTTTAATAGGATAGATTTATATATATAATACATCGAAGTTCTCGTTACTAACCACGAGTAATTGACGGTGGTATTAAGCACACACAGTGAAATGTGTGTGATGAAATCGCCTCCAAATAAACGTTCCATAAATGTAATACCGTGTTTAGCTTTCATTAAAAAAAAAAACTGGTACAAAATATCCTGTTAAGAATCTCGGTTTCCGCATAAGTAAATACAGAAAGTATAACGCTCTCCGAGTAGAATGTATAATTTATAGTGAAAACTAGGAAAACAATAATCAGCTTTCAAAAATTTCACAAACGTTAGTCGACGTTTTTTTCGAAAGTAGTTTAAACCATTTCACTTGTTCAAAAAAACAGTTCAATTGAAAGGTATAACTCTAACATTATTTATTAATTGCTTGATTTTTATGATATTCAAAATTACGGATTGTCATTTGTTAAGGTGTGTTAGTTTTCAATTAGTTTATTACCAATCAGAGATTAATTATTAGTTATGTTACACAGACAATATTTCATTTTGAAAATGATTTATGCTGTTTTCGTGTTGAATTTACATTATGAAAGCAAGTCAAGGTACATAAAGAACTAATATGTTAATTTCAATTGTATATCTTTCAGAAGAGTGCTGTACAGTTATTTGCAAAATTGAGATTTCATTATAGATCAGTTTCTAATTTATTGGAAAAGGTTACTGACTTTTCAGCTATTAACAGCCGTAAAAAAATATAGCAGACATCTTTATAGATTCTATTCATATACAACAGATGGTAGAAATTTGAATCTAATTACGTTTTGATACGCTCAGCGTAGTATGAGGTTGCTTCATTTAATAATATAGTAGAGCCCTCCATATACGAAGTAATTGGGAAACTTAAGCGAATAATAGAACACCCGGCTGTGCTAACCCTAACCTTCATATTAATAATTGAAAAATCTTAAGAAAATATTGAATTCTTCAATGACAATCAAATTTAATCCTACTTCATGTCATTAACGTACGCTATTTTGTTAAATATACTAAATCTATATGAATCCTTGATGAAACATGAACTCTGATATTGATCTGAAAATTCTAAAATGCATTCACTCTGAAGCGAATACTTATTAGAATCCACAAACGGCAGACATAAACTGACTATGATAATCAGACTAAATCATAGCTATCCGATGACGATAACCATGATATTACGAGCTTATCCTGCAACAATTAATTAAACCCTCGAATAGCGGGACTTCGGATCATTTTGGCCTACGGTTACAAACGTTTTAGCTAAATTCCAATTTCCCAGCGACCAGCTTATGCCATTAGTGGGTATCAAATAGTAAAAAGATCAAAAGAATTAAAAAATGTCAGTGTATTATTTTCAATCTCTTAAAACGATTAAAGAAAGTACGACCTTCCTATCTAGCGTTTCTATATATTTCAATCGATGTAGTGAATTTTTATTTTGCATAAAAATCCGCAGTCTAGTTATCAGCTACTTAAATCGGATCCAATGAGAAAATCAATATTAATCTTGTACGAATAACCTGATACTTCTGAATTAGTTTTACAGTTTGCTATACAAAAATACACAATTACATCCCCTAAAATTTTAAGATTTTATAAATACATCAAGAATACACGTCCGATTAAATTAAGATATCGGTAAAGTCAATGAACCAAGAAATCAATAGACCGCGAGTCTTTACGCAAAATAAAAATTCGCTATCCCAGAGTACAGCTTACGAGTACCTTCCTTATGTGTAACAATTTTTGTAAGTCGTATAAAACCAATTCTTTGAATTGGCAGTTATGCATTTTCGTCGTAAACCTATATAGAGAGAGAATCCGCACACTAATAATCAATTCAGGGATCGAGTGTCCGTCGAAAGACTCGTGACTGACTTTTTCCGGTGGCCTTAAATCCTCGCTCTTTGTTGGCGGCATTCCGATCGACGCATCGCAATGAAATTCGTTAGAGCACAATTGAAGGATAAGTCGCGCAAACAGGAATACGAGTGACACGGTACAAGTTTACAAGCGGCTAAGCCGACGCGCGTTTTGCACAGCGTGTTCCCTGATTCCCTCCACCTCTCGGCCGCTCATAAGCCGTGGCCTGGAGGTGGCTGCGGAGGTGGAGGCGGCGTGCACGGATAAGTGGGAAAGAGAAAAGAGGATGATGTGGGAGATCGAGAGAAGGGAGCGACTGCCACTGGCGATGCATTGAGCAGCCACTAAAACAGTCCTACGGCACTTCGATCCGTTGTCAGATCGCGTAGCGCGTGCCGATCGAGCGGACTGCTGCTCGGTCATCGATCGTCGCTCGTAGATCACGGATCGACGGGCCGGGTACCGCGTGCCGATCCTCGATCATTCGGGAACCGCGCGCGCGCGCGCGCCGATGCCTATCTCTGTGAAAAAATACACCGGTTGAAAACCGCTGCTGCAGACAAGTGAATTCATCGGATTGTCAGCATTTTTGGTCTGTGCGAACGAAGCGTCCAGTGTCAAGGGTCGGGAAAATAGTGGCGCGATCTTCTAACAGAGATCGATCGCATCTGGTGAATAGGTGATCACGGCGAATTTGTTTCTCAGTGATACCATGCGTAATCGTGAGCCAGCATCGGCGTAAAGAAAAGTAAGCTGCGATAGCGGTCGTGACGAGTGAAGTTATTGTTTACGTATCTGAAAGAGAGCGAGCGTTGGCGAGACGGTTCGCCAGCTGGCAAACAACTTTATCTGCTGGTAATTGTTAGAACGACAAGTAATTAGTATTAGCAGATGTAGCGTACTGGGTTAATCTTCCCGAAGACGTGCTATCTAGCCGAACAGAGTCTGTTCAACAGACTCGGATCCCCCGCCGCCAGCCGGAAAAATCGGATTTCACGCGGCCGGCCGCAACGAGTCACTTGGCACGCGGCAATTACCGCATCGCTAACGGTAATTGTTCTCGGCCTGTCCGCGTGTTCATTTGCAGTGTGTAAAATAACATGTACGCCACGAATCGACGCACCGCGCCGGCCGTGCGCTTTCTAACGACCGCAGACTATTAATCCGTTTTTTTTTTATTGCGAGTTCTTATCGCAGTTCGACGGGAATTATCGGGCCAGCGGATGAGGTTGTTGTGACGGCTCGAGCGAACGGACGTCGACGCGTTGCGCCGCGACCAAGGAAATCAGTGTAAATAACCGCGAAATCTCGACCGAGCTAAGGTGTCGCCTCGACTTGATGACAAAGGGCTCTTCATGTACAATAGGGACGGAAACACGCCGCTCCGATGATGGGCTTCCGAGAACGACGCCGCTAAAAATCTTGAGAGCCGTGCGTATCGCACTTTCATATCGGCCAGGACAAGTGGTGCGTTTCTTGCGGACTTCCGCGCAAGCTGCAACCAAGATGTGTTGCTATCGAGTCTGTTGGGCTAGAAAAGACGCGCGGGGAAAAACAGATTTAAACGGCTGCGCCGTGTCACGTTGTTTGTAGATAGTAGTCAGTGTTTGTATTCGACCCCCGCCACCGACATCTGTCCTTCTTGTTCCAATATCTCGTAGTCGGCACTGAATTTGTCGATTACGAAAACGCAAGTTCGTTTTATCAATTTCTGATGGATTTCAATGTCTTTTTCATAGAGGTTCGTCAACTACCAGAGTGACGAAATTATATATTAATTGATTGTAGAAATTAACAATAGAAGTTGCACACTTTGAAGATAACAGGTTTGATCAAAGACGTTGTTTCCTTTCTATGAAATATGAAATATTTAGTATTTCCTTTCACTATTTTTCTGTGATAGCGATCACCCTTTCATATCAGAAAATCAACACTGTTGGCTGAATTTGCAATATCATAGTTCAATGACGTGAAAAGAATGATGCGTTCTTATAAGTTGGAATTTTTCAAAGCATCGTTCCTTCGGAAATACGCACGAATCGTTTCCATTCAATTGAAATTGTACCCCACTTGAGATTGCACAGTGAGATTAATTTAAAACACCAAATTTCGTCACTGCTTCTAACGGTACTGTTCAATTGGTATTGATAGCTTGCAAACGAACGGTTTCCACGACATACGATCTTTTTCTCTCGGAAAACAATAAGTGGATAAACTTCCAAGTGCCATGACAACGACAATATTATATCATAAAATAACACAGATAGAAATTAGTATTTATATTGTTTCCTCAACTTTAACTTAACTCGACGAGTTCCCTCGATCTAGTGTCGTTATTTTGTTATTTTTGCTGTAATGTCGGCTTCGATCAAGAAATTCATTCGATCAGTGCCTGCGAAAGGCTTTTTATGATCCCAACAATTTTAAAATAAAGAATGCCGAGCCGGTCATTGTAATCGGCACGGTAAGTTTAGCGTTAAAACGTTACGACAACCTTCCCTCTTGCTTTTTAGCTAGTATCGTTTTCGTAGACAGCAGATGCCATGTCTTAGATGTTTATTGAATCCTATATCCTTACCGGAGGATCTCGTAAACGCGACTTCATGGTTATCCCCGGGAAAGTGGTAGGAAAAGGTTCTAGGCTCTAGTGTCATCGCGTGCTTCCCGAGTGAACTGTTCTCAACCGTTCTCGGCTGATCCCAGCAGACTGTAACGACTGGCCACTAGACTCCGAAGCGCAGAAAAAGGAACGCGAGAATAAGAAAGTTCCTTCCGTGTCCGCGATCGCTCGGTCGGCTGCGCCGATGTCGGGGAACTACATCAGGGGAGTTAATCGATCGCAAACGATAACGGGATCTTGATGTATCTTGGGACGTGTAATCGCGGGGACGTGATTCGGCGAAACGCGTAACGAGGGGATCCTGGACACTGGTCTCGTTGAACGGTAAACCTACCCCCTAGATTATGCTCCAATAACGAGCCCGGTTGCGAAACACGCTCAAAGAACCACCAGCAAAAACTGATGCAACGTGATTCTCAAAGGGGACGCCTGATTGTACGACATCCTGGCTACCAAGCCGTTGACGTCTTCGCGAGATTTCTATCGGTGAACGTTGCAACCCGCAGACAGGTTGTTCGGCCGATTCGATGCTTTTCTTTCGCGTTCGCTGATATCGTGAAGATGCTTTTGTGGGAAACAAGTAAATTCATTTATTCGCGCACGTGTAGTAAGAATCGCGTCGAATCCGCAGAAATCTGATCATGATACTTTTGCTCGATATGAACACGTTTTCGCGACTGCGCGCATCGAAGCTAGTTTTTCATTGATAATTTAGTGGATGAAGCTTGTTGCGATTTGCTTGTTCAGTTAAACTATACGATAGTAATACATTCAAAAATGAACTGTTATGTAAAACATGTCTGTGACCTTCGAGAGGATACGAAGGCCTACGGAGGGGAACATCGAGAGGCAGCAAGGTTCATGTTCAATTTTATTTCCCTAAACGACCTCTGGCAAACAGAGAAAAGAATACTACAATTGTTATCGAAGGAACGAGGCGAATGAAATATAATTTAGTAGACTTAGTAGATTCTTTTTCAATCAAATGTTTTCGTCTACTTGTATAGGCCTCTCGAAAGAAGGTGCTTCATGAAGTAATTCCTATTTCAGTGTTCCTCGAACGTTGGCCTGTACTTGTAATTTACTCGGAAGTGAAATGTTGGTAACAGAAAGATGGTAAAGATGGTAATTCATGTTTTTAAGTTCTCTTTGAAATCTTCACGACAAATCTGTGATAACACCTTCTTTCATAGAACTTTGATATAACATTTTCTAGTAGCTTTTCTAGAATAATCTCCTTCTTAATGAGTGAAAGTATCGAAATTTCACTTTTGAAGTGACATCCATTATTTCAACGCAAAGAGCTTACCGTTGTCATTGGACTCTTAGTGACTATGATAGGGAAACGATTAGTATGCTAGTATGTAGAAAGTTCACGAAACACCGAAGAGACTGTAAAGGTAATTTAAAAACTAAAATTTTACTATTTTTACTTGTTCCTTGATGAATGAGTCTCTCTCAAGGCTCTGTTGCAAATGTGTACTAGCAATAAAACAGTGAAGCTGTTACTAAAAACTGTTATAAAATACATAAAACTATTAACATTTTATCTGCCTCTAGTTTTCTAATAGTCTTTCTCGAATCGAACGTCAACGGTTGAGAATTTCTTGGAAAGTTTTCCAAAAGCGACAATAACTTCATCCATGATCCATCTATCAACTTGAAATTTAATGTCACAATTTCTTTCGGAAGTGTTATTGAAAAGAAAGCTGTCTAGCTTGCCTTTTAGAACAATGAAGCTCGTAGCTCGTGTAAGCGTTTCAGCTGAAAAATATTAAAATGGTGATCATATCGAAAAAACGTCGGGCAGTTGAATCGTGCATTTCAAATGACGGTGGAGAAAGGAATTTTTTGTCTGTGTACAGATTTCCACTGACATTGAAACCGATCCCAGTGATTAGTTTGAAGCGTAGCCTGTGGAAATTCCTTTTACGCGAGCACTGCGAAACGGAAAGAGAACTTAATTATCGTGCCCTTTCAAAGTTATTAGTATTTGTGAGTATTTATACCTTCCGTGCAATTAAACTGTATTCTTCATCGGAGCTTTCATCCCAAAACATATTCCTTTGGGCTCCAGTTTCTTTCGAAAAAGAATGCATGAAGAATGAGGCTCTAAAGTGGATCGTTTCTTGAATACGAGAAAAATTAGACCCGCATAAATTGGCATACATTAGCTTTCCGATGCCGTAATTCAGTCGCTGAAAACGTTTCGAACTTCGTTGTCAATGCCTGCGGAATATTTACATTACTATTTATTCATTTATTTGATCATAATCCTTGCGTTTCGGCTTACAATGACTTCCGGTTTACTAAATACGTAATACATCTTATTAACTTAACATCACGTATTACCTAGTTCAACGAACGTAACAATTTATTTTATCATATAATAATAATGATAAATAAAACTTTTCGAATTTCCATTCTCGATGTCTGCGAAGTATAAGAATTATTACATGGCCGACTGCAACGAATGAAATTTTAATAACAGAACTCGCTAACGGAGAAGGTGGAGAGTCGAAGGTCTTTTATTGAAATTCAGTCACTGGCCCGAGGAAATTGGGAAGGAGTTGCAGGATATAACGTGGTTTACAGAAGGCTAAGTTGTGCGTAGATTAAACTTGGACGAAGTTATCACTGTTCACCGTAAATATACGGTACATTGTAAATTGAGAGTACCTGCTTATGGGGAAGGTAATTAGCGTGAAATTTTATGAGATATTTCCTCCGGCGGAATTGAATTTCCAGAGTGCTCGCGATTTATGAATTTTCATTGTTCCCTCACCGTGGACACGTATCACTGCTTGTCAAATGCTAATTACTCGGATAATTGTTAATTCGTTTTCCATTAAGCGACACTAATTTCATAGAAAATATAATTTCAACAGTTCTGAATTAATTGAAATTATCTGTCTGATTATTTCACAACACTGATCCGTGGCTTCGGCGAATTAATTTCTTATTTTGTTTATTCGATAATCTGCGTTCAAATGTATTTACAAAAATAAACGGATAGAGGAAATCGGTCAAACGTAAACAATGGTTTTCGATCGTTTACGAACGGACCGGTTAAAAAAAAAGAGAGATTCGTGACCTGAGTAAACAGCCGGATGAAATGGAATCGAGATGGTGTATTTTGACGATGGAAATTAGTTTACGTTACAAATATACTGTCAAAACATGCAAGCACATGCCGCACCGTTGCATTCATGCACCGTGGAGAGAATCAAATAGAGTAGTTTATCATCATACCTGCCGCTATATCAATGTCAGCTTCCATACAACTTAACATTTCTTTTAACTCGCATGTTGTTATATTATATTTTATTTTTAAAAATTTAGGACACTTTTAACACATTGTCTCCGTATCACAGATCGAGCTTCACTCGATCACTCACGTCTAACCGGGGAAAATCAATGAATTTTGAAAAAATCCGCTTTTTAAAAAACATTTAATATTTGCAAAACTGAAAATAAGCTGTTGATAATATGTATGTAACGAGGATTTTTGGGATTTCACAGAGGGATTCTTTCAAATATATAACGAAATTAAACAAAACTAATTTTTTAAAATAGATCTTCCACATCTAATATTCTGCATCTACGTACGTTGCGTATAAAAAGAAATTATTCTAACGTACGTGATGCAATCTTCAGCCGTGTAATTTTTATTCAGAACTCTTTTCCGTGCAGCTAACAGTGTATGAACTTTTTTACATATTTAACACTAGGTTTACGAAGCACTACAAGCAGCTATTCTACACTTCTTCATAAAAATAACAAGCATACATTTATTCATGTTTTTAACCATTTTTATTATGATATAAATATGTATGTCAAATGAGAC